GTCAGGGCAGGACTTGCAGCATTGCAAATCATGCTCTGCTCTTCATGATCCATGGCCTGCGGAGAAAGTGGAAGCAGCCGGCGGCTTTCTACTTTACTCGTGGAAGCACAAATGCAGAGATGATTGTGCAATACTTGAAGGAGGTTCTTGACGCCTGTCAGAATGCTGGCCTGAAGGTGGTTGCCACTGTGTGTGACATGGGTGCCAACAATGTCAAGACATTGAAACTGTTGGGTGCTTCCAGAAGGAAACCACTCTTCAGATTTTGCAATCAAGAAATTGCAACAATGTATGATCCACCCCACCTTCTGAAGTGCACCCGGAACCTTTTCCTGAAACATGATGTGCAGTTGAAGTCTGAGCATGTGGGCACCCAACTTCCTGTTATTGCTAAGTGGGACCACATATTGAAACTGTATGAAATCGACTAAACCAGACCGCTTCGCCTGTTGTATAGGCTGACAGACACCCACCTGAACCCCACAGCACAGAGCTCAATGAATGTGCGCTTGGCTGCACAGGTCATGAGCCATACTGTTGCAGCAAGCCTCAATGCTCTAGTGGCTTCAGGTAAGCACTATATGTTTCTTTTATGAATGAAGTGACTAATAATGAGGAGTACTTTTCAAAGTTACTGCCCCAGAACCCAGTTGTAATCAAACAAACGTCGTCATCATCTGACTTGAATTGACTTCTGAAACTGTATATCAATATACAAGTTATGTAGAATATGTCACAAATACTGTTTTTAGGATAATTAAGAAATATTTGAAAAGCAGACGAAACTATCAGTGATATAATTGAGGTGAATTAGGTGGCAAAGATTTTAATATGAGGAATAATGTAATGAAATGTACAAGTTTTGTGTAATGTTAGGCCTTTGTTAAGTAATGTGTTATTTTCCAATGTAAAGAAACTGTAATTCACCACATAAGGAGGCACACTAACTTCTGTTCCCCCTCCCCGTATTCAGGTGGGTGCAGCAGCGAATACATGGCAACAGCTGTTTGTTGAGGAGGTTGACAACCTCTTTGATAGTTTTGTGGGAACATCCCACATTATCACACATTTTCTGCAACGCACACTCTTCACATCACTTTTCACCATCACGCGCGCTAACCAATCAAATTGCTCCAAACGTTCGCATTTATACTGCGCTCGTTGCTAGCCCCGCATCTACATCATCACGCGCGCTAGCCAATCAGCGCCATGCAAATTCTTCCTCCTCAATTTCAAGTTCCGCTCCGCCCACCGAGCAGTGTATAAAAAGGAGCAGCCGCTAACCGGCAGCATCAGTTTGACTTCAGTCTACGATCAAGCCACACTCAAGCAACATCAGCCAGCAGGCTTCGTCGCCAGCGCTCGGTCTTCGGAAGCATCAGCAGGCTGCACCAGGCATGACTGCCTCGGCCCTCCGGCTCTCACAACCCGATCACTGGGGCACCTTGCTGGTGGTCGTGTCCCTGTCCGACCCACTGGGCATCTGACATAGCCACTGCCTCATCACTCCTACGACCGCACTGCGCGACCATGCAACTTCAACTCACCTGCCGCACAGCAATCAAGCAACCTCCAGCAATGGCCGCGCTGTGGCCAGTCAAATCACCGCAACTAACCTCTCGCCCTACCAGCGCGCGCCGTGCTACCTCACCGATCAAACATCTCAGCAACCATGGTCCTTTTCAGGACCAACAAACTCTTCCAAAGAAGTGGGTTGTCATCGGAGTAATGACGAACAACAAAGACATAAAACCCCACAGTTTCAATGGTAGAACAAGCATTGGCCGAGGGAAAATACTGCGTTGCCCACAACAGTCCCCATATAGAGCTCTGGAAAAAGGCAAGTATGGGGATAAAGAGTTGGATCTTCCTCAAGGATGGCAAACCTGCCTTTGTTCATCCTCCTCCTTCACAGAATGGGTGGCTGATTGACATCACTGCTGCCCAGCATGTGTGGAGGACACTGAAAGAGGTGGGTTTTGACTACCTTCACACCCAAAACCTGAATCAGGATCCCCTGGAGAACACATTTGGAGCTATTCGTTTGAACTGTGGTTCGAACAATAACCCAACTGTGGGACAGTTTGTAGATGCCCTGAAGACTAGCATCATCAATGGCCTTGCATTTAGAGGACTGGGGGAAACTAATTGTGAGGATGATGGTGCTACTCTTCTGGATAATCTACAATCGCTTTTCAGGGCACCTGAAACTGCTTCACGAAATCCTTCCACGAGTCATGACAGGGAAACCCCTGCTGGTGTGCCTGAGAGTTTCCATGTTGCTCAGCAAGTACAGATGGACATTAGTCCTGCAGTACCTGCTGGTAAAATGGAAGTGCTCTCAGTAGCTTACGTCAGTGGTTCCATTGCCAGACAGGTGCTTCGTGGTGTCAGCTGTGATGCATGCAAGACATGCCTGACATCTGAAGTGCTGCTATCAGCCAATGTCTTTATTTATTTCAAGGAGTGCAGAGATACAGAACAGTCTCTCACATATCCTTCTGAGAAGCTAGTGGAGACTGTTGGTACTGCTGTAACTCTGATGGAGTCTATAATGACAGAGGCTGCCCACTTGAATTCAGTGGAGCAGCATATCACANCATCGGTAAGTCATTATGAAAGTAATGCTTCTTCATTTTTGCCTTGTAATGTCCTGCCCATACCAGCCCTGGAAATTGAAAGAGAGTAGTTATGAAATTACTGGAAGAATATGTGTGCCAACTAGTCACATGAGCATCATTAAATGTAAGTTGGAGAAAGTATCCCTGGTGACAAGCAGTTTCAGTGCAGCAACAGAAACTACTGTGCAGCGAATAATAACATCGTCATCCACAGTTCAGTTACGCACAAGAAACCTACTTTGAACTTGAGCTGCATCTCTTTCCTGCTTTGCAAACATGTTGCAGTGAATGATAACATGGTCAACCACAGTTCAATTACATACACAAAACTTATTTTGAACTTGAGCTCCAACTGTTCGCCTCTGTGCAAACATGTTTCCTTCGTCTCAGAATATTAGAACTTCACTGGGTCAGAGTTCATTCTGGCCTTTATCTTCAAGAAATTATATTTCAATCGAGTGTATGGGAAATTGTTTTCTGACACACATGGGTCTTCTTTATGTGTAGGTAAGAACGAAGAGGCATTACTTCATAATTGACTTGCAAAGTTCAGGTTATCCACCTCAGCGTGAGACTCTGAGAAGCAGAATCAGTATCAGGATTGAATGTGGGTAGGACTATGTATGTAATTCCTTTACCTATTTCATTTCATTACATTGTTATTCACTTCTGTTGTTATAGGTGTATTCCTTCTCTTGCTTTTGCCATACAATGCTACCTGTACTGGACTGGTGAACATGAACATAAGATTTTCAATAGTAATTGCATTTCTTTAACACAGATATTATTTTTTGCTGTATAATCATATTCAATACTGAACTGGAAGATGAATATATACCAGATTGTCAGTATTCATTACATTCTTTTTATAAGATGTGTTACTTTTGCCATGTAAACCTTTCCATTACTGAACTGGAATGTGAACAGATACCAGATTTTCAGTATTCAGTATATTTCTTTAAGATATGTTATTATTTCTGCCATATTGTTCTGCCCAGTACTGAACTGGTGAAGATGAATATATCAGATTTTCTTATATCATTAAATGCAGTCTTAATCTTGTTGACGGGTGTATTTCACATTCTCAAATTCCATCATTCTAATGAAAATAATAAATGGGAAGATGAGTATTGTTTCTTACAATATATGATTTATAATACTTAAATGTAACCCGAAAGCTGTGTTCTTTGTGGCTTTCAAGTGTAAGTTATGAGGAAATTATGAGGCTTAATATACGTATCTCTGATTGAAACAGAATTTTCTTTCAAGTTTCCCCACCTTCAGCTTTCCTAATTACAAGTATTCTATGTATGTTACAGTTCATGATGTTCAGTGCTTTTGGTTAAAGAGGTGTTTCATGTGAAAGAAAGGTTATGACTTTCCAGGCCTGGTGACAAACTTTCTCCAGATAATTAATTTGCAACATAATCTCTTGTACTCCAGAGCTGCAGAGGCTCTTATTCTGCTGTAACTTTTTTTTGGAAAGGGTAGGGGACAAAGTTTAATAGAACTTCACTCAGATCCAACCCAAAGGATATGGGTGAAGTTACATTAAACTTCCTTATGGAGCTGAGCCCTTCTTGAGAAGCTGTCAATTGTGCAGCCACTCAAGAATTTTCCAGTCTTTTGTAGAACCCGAAGGTTCATTACTATGTTCACAAGAGCCCTCCACTGGTCCCTATCCTGAGCCAGATCAGTCCAATCCGATCTATACCATCCTATCTCAGTAGGATACATTTTAATATTGTCCACCCACCTACACCTTCGTCTTCCCAGTAGTCTCTTTCCTTCTGGCGTTCCCACTATCTTATGCGCAGTCCTCGCCTCCCCATTCGTGCTACATGCCCTGCCAACCTCATCCTCCTTGACTAGTGATATTGAACACAGTTCAAAAATGGAAATATGTTGGTGGGGAAATTAATAAATTTGAACTTTGTTAAATATCACTAGTCGAGGAGGATGAGGTTGGCAGGGCATGTAGCACGAATGGGGAGGCGAGGAATGCATATAGGTTATTAGTGGGAACGCCAGAAGGAGAGAGAGACTGCAGTACAAGAGATCTAAAAGTATTTATTGCTAGTAGCGAAAAAAACATTTTGAGGGGGGGCGAAGGGGAGGAGTCAAAATAGTTGCTGAGGTACCATACCTTCTTACCGATTGTGCTCTCGGCCCTGGAGGTCATTTTTAATTTAGTCATGTAAGCTGAACATAGATGGCAGCAGCATTTCACCGAGGTGTCACGGCAGCCATGTTGCCAACCAATAACATGGGAGTTGCACAGGGCTGACCCTGACTATAGCTAACTATTGAAGATGAATCCTTTTCAAATATATTTTGTCTGATAAAGGAACAGTACATTCAAGCAATGACATAATAATGCACATGTGATGAGCATCCACAAAAGACTATGAATATTAGTCTACAAAGGATAAGAGTGGGCAGTCTTCCAAAACAATCCATTAGACCATTCTTTCTTTGAAAGAACTGTTACTATAATATTCTTCACTAGAACTGGTGACTCAGGCATGCGCCAATCACATTGACTGTGGAGAGAACATAAATGAAGAGGGGAGGAAGCACAAAAACAAAGAAAATACATTGGTACCAAGTGTAACACTATGGAATGTTGATTTTCAATGAAAGCAAATTGTTTCATCAAGTCTCACAACCCTATAGGCTTCCACAGCCTGTTACAGGAATAGCTCTACTTTTTTTTACCTATACAGTATCTGTATAGAGGAAAACTCATCACCAATTCTAATAAAATCAATTAAAGTAATCCATACCCATAAGAAAATTATGCCATTCCACAATAAAATAAATAGCAATGAAGTAATGCTTTCAGCAAAATTGAGTGTCACTGCGTTGTTTATTCAAGTACTTTGTGGTGAAACTGTGACACGCAGATTAAGCTCACCCACTGTTGTGGCTGCTTGCAGAGTATCATTCATAATGACTACTCTCCACATTCACACTGTGGACAGTCTTCATTTTTCTTTTTTTCAGTCATGTAAACCAGAGCAATTGGAACTGTCAGTTTTAATCTGAGGAATGCTATAAGATGATAGCATTCATCAGTTGAATTTTAGTGCATAAAAACATTGTGAAGATCTTACTGCCTCCACTTAAACAGGTTTCCATACTTTCCTGTCCTATAATGAACTAGGCTTTGGTTTATATCAACAACATGAGCTACCACTTTCATGTATTCCTAAGTATGCTTTTCTTTTAAATGTATTTCACTTCATAGAAATAAATATTTTTCAATCAGAATTATAATTTGTCCATGCCGAATTTTAGATGGCCATAGTGGCAGCTATATTCCATGCTGTAATACTGTGTAGTCCAGTATATGTCCATGAATACTTCAGAGGAACATCAGCAGTCTCTTGGACAATGTGATGTTACATCTCTTGAAATTTGTGCATGTTTTGCAACCATGACAAAACATCAGTATTGGCTTGAAGTCTTGTCTGCTTACCTTGTGCTGATTATTTCAAGTCGAGTGACAGTCTCTCAAGATTGTGCATTTCAGTTTATTTGAACTGGTCAGTAGAAAGGAAGGTGCTCTTGATAGAACTGGAGCACAAAGACCCAACCATAACTACCATTTATCATCAGATATTGAGAAAAGTGTTACATAATCTCTATAAAGATGCACACACATTTTAATTGTGTCTTTAGCACCAGACATCAGTCCACTGTGAAATGTACCTGGACAATGGACATGGTCAAAGCACCCACTAAGTGTCAATGCAATGCTGACATTGTCATGCAACAGACCAACACATCTGTAGGCATGTTACTGATGAAACAGACATATGTGCAAATTCAATTCTGGCTTCCTCAGAAGTGTTTATTGTCCAGTCAAACTCAACACTTGACTGACAGTGACATGATGTCTCAAAAACAAGAACTTTTATTAATGAGTAATATAATCTTAATATATATATACCTAATTGTAAAAATAAACACCTTAGAAAACAATGAACTTTCTTACCATGTTGGGGCTACTTGGGGAGAGCAGTTACTGGTGGGACACAAGATGCAGAATGTTGAGAATCACAGCTTCACAGTACCATACAAACAGTCTAGGAGCCAGGATATGTGTTTGTATAGCAGGCAGGCTATGGGGTGGATGACCAAGAAGTCAGGGTTCAATTTGCAGCAAGGACAAGAGATACTTCTCTTTTCAACAGCATCCAAGCTGGCTCTAGCACCAGCCAAACTGCCATAAAATGGATACTGGGGGCTGTTTCCCTGAGAGAAAAGTGACAGAGGTGTAAAACTGACCACTCATTCCATCTAGCATTGAAGATCCATTCAAATGTTACGTCTTTATGGCACAGTGCTTAATTAGTTAAGTACAAGCACACTTTTACCTTTCAGAAATAACGTCTTGTGGTGCTAGGTCAGAGGACTAGGGTCAGTTTTCTTTGCTTCCCCCAAAATATCAGTGTTACATGAAAAACTTTCATTCACAGTGCATTAATTTCACTAAACTTAAGTCATAACTTGCAGTGTCTTGTAACCAATTGGTGTTTCGCATATAAAGTATTGAACATGAACATGAACATACTGAAAAAACACAACAGCACTGTACCCTCAGTTTGCTGCTGTGCAGAAATGAAACAAGAGATTTCCTTATAGGTCAAAACACCCCCAAATGTATGTACATTTAGAGCTTATGTCTTACAGAAGTAATTACAATCTAGAAACCTTTACATTTCTATGAAGAAACATAAACATTTCAGGTCATATTAATTCCAGCTCTTTTTTTTAAACTGAAAATATATTAAGAATTCAAATAAATATTCCAAAGGGACAGGCATTTACAGTTCAACATACAACATGATTTTCTATTAGAAATGTAAGCATAAAATTCATTAAACACACCTATCTACAGGCACTGCTAACAAAAACCTGCAGTCGATCAAATCTGATGGTAAATTCCACTGTTCCTCAACACATTTATAGGAAAATGTCAACTCTATGATCTTTGATTTTACATAAATGTTTCCTACAGCTAACATTCTTCCAAAGGTGCAACTGTGTATCTTTAGTTGAGTGTTCTGAGTTGTACTTTTTGAAGCCGGTACCTGCCATTACAGGAATATATATTGCAGCTTCTAGGTTTAACCTAGGGAAAGAGAGAGAATGTTTTATTCATAATGAATGAACAAAATAAATATTCATAAAAGTGTATAAAACAATAAAACACATTATCAGTACATAAATACAGCACAAGTACAATTTTATTTGTAAAAATAGTGACATATGGCTTCTACAGATATAAAACATCCTGAATGAATACAGCAATTTCCTGTGGCATAGAATAGGTCTCTAGCTTTCCATGACGTTCTTAACAATACTGTAAACTCCCAATTATCCAGGTATCCAGAATTATCATCCAACTGGCAAACATTCTGAAGAAAATTTACCATTTTTATATACAGATTTGTGATATGCACATGTTCACCCACCCTCCACCTGGGAGTTCACCCAGCCTCCACTAACAGTGCAACCTGTCATCTTCCCCCATATAGTACCATAACAGTAGAGGCTAGTTGAACCTGTGATGGCATTACAGCTTACATATCCCAAAATCTTTCACCCATCAATCCAATCCACTGTGCTATCTAGGAAGATTCCCATGTAAGAACAAAAGTTGAAAATGTGTTAATTTAACAAAAACAAAACAAAATTTAACTTCATATTGGGTTTCTGTAGGATTTTTTTTTTCTCATCAAACTGGCACACTATTATGTTCTCCATGCAGGCTTCATAATGAGATTACTGTAATTAAAATTCCAGACCAGAATAATGCACTGTGTTCAAGTGAATTAGAATACTATGGCCGGAGACTGCACATAATTGTACATACTAAGAAATGAAAAACTAACATCCAAATAACAGTAAGTGTAAAATGTGAATTCATATATTTTGATAACTAGAGGTGTAGATACAATAACGCCTTAAAGACAGTCACAGAGTTAATAATGATGATAATGGGGAAATTGAGCAGGAAGGCCAAACAGAAATATAAGCAACAATGAGAGCTGAGGCATGAGAATTTTTGTAATTTGATATTTGAGAATGAAATGAATATACTTACAAATCTGCCACACACAAACCATTTAATACTTAACACTACCAAGACTACTATCAGGACTAGGCATGGTAGAAAGGATATTGTTAACTATTCTAACAGATAATGAAATACTGATAAATCCTGATGACTGGTATTAAACTATTAATAGAAGTTCCCTACTTTACTCGGGTGGCAGATCTAATTTTCTGATTCATTAGCTCTCATTTTCTGTTCATCAGTATTAACACACTATACAAATCAACTGAGAAAATATGAGTTTATGCTGGGAATAAACGATTTTAAAGAAGAACATTTTTCTACACACAATGAAAACATAATTCCGGGTCAGAACTCTTACATTTGAGAATTTCTATTGAATATTGGCCACATGACAACTTTTCCTTCTGCAGATGGGCATGATGTATTTATATTACAGTCATAAAAATAATTGTTCATGGCCAATGAATTTAGCAAAAACACCAGTAAACTTGATCCACCATAATGACTTTTTATACAGCAGGTTTCTGTGTGCAGCCTGATGATACTGCTGTGCTTTCAGCCTTGCAGACAGCACTGTTCGTGATCCATTCGTGACTCAAGACATTGTTTAATGGCAGGCGTAGCGATGGATTAGTCACAAGTAACTGGAAATTTGAAAACAAAAAATGTTTTTTGTTCACAGTGAAAAGCAGAAGTAAACATAGGTGAGGTATCAGGTACAAGAACATAACAAACAGTTCACAATGAGCTGATGACTGTTAGAAAAGTAACACAAAATTCTGAAGAACATGGGCACCACCAGGATTTTTCTACAGCAGGGTGCATAGAATTTGCTTATATTTATATTTAAGCTGTTTGAGACTATTTCTTACTAATTTCCTTTGAGTATTTGGTTTCAACAGGCCTAATACTGGAAAGGATGTAACGTGATTTAGAGCAACGTGGCTCTTTGTGCACTACTGATATAGTTGAGGGGTAAGCGGTAGCGTAGTTGGTTGAGGCACTGTGCTACAAGCTGGAAGGTCCCAATGAGGTCATCGGATTTTTCAATTGAGCTAATCCTTCCAGCCACACAATGGCCCTGGGGTCAACTCAGCCTCTAACAGAAATGAGTACCAGGAATCTTCCTGGGAGTAAAGAGTGGCTGGCGCATAAGGCTGACAACCTCACTGCCATCTATGAGCTGTCAGTAAATGTGGGAACATTGATGTCTCACAACCTTATGGGCCTCCATGGCCTGTTACAGGAATAGCTTTACCTTTTTTACCTTAGTGATTCAGTTGCCTAGGGTTACCTTCAAAGGCTCACACCTTTTTAATCTGTAGCAGGTATACACTTATGAAAGTATGTGTGTAGTCTTATAAAGAAACTGTGATGACATGAAACACAAGCCATTGTACCTACTTTGCGAATGAGATCTCTGGCACCTTCAGATACATGGGGCGGGAAAGAATATTTAGCCCTCCCAATTCTACGATAGGTTTCTTCATACGTTGCAGCTTCAAATGGTGGCTTTCCAACGAGGCATTCATAACATAACACACCCAGACTCCACAAGTCAACCTTTTCATCATGAGGCTGACCCTGAACCATTTCTGGTGGAAGGTAATCCAAAGTACCACACAATGTGTCTCTCCTGAAAACAGATCCCTGATTGGTCAACTCCCTTCAATATGCCACATTTCATCAGGTACTGTCCCGATTTCAATCCCCATATTTAATATCCAAAACAGTAGATTTACCAAGAAACAAAAATAAAATAATAATAAAAAAAAAACATGAGAGCTAAAGAGAATTTTACTCAGCTGCTACATTGTCACTCTAACCCCCAAAAATGATTTACCTCAACAAAAGTTGCATATTTTGAAAAACTCTATTACTAGACAGGATTTCAAGACCCTAGATTAAGTGATACTTGTGTCATTCCCACTAAAAAAGTATACATCTACAACACAGTACTGTTATTACCAGCTGTATGAACCTAAAAGATATGAGGTTGGAGAAGCCTCTAGAGGCATAACATCCATTCCAACATTTTTTAATATCAGCCAACTAGTTCAAAAGTTCAGATAGAGGGTCAGACACCCATACACACACAAGCATACTGATCTCATAAGCCTTTCTCTACTTCAAAAAAGCAGGCTGAAAGTCAGGGGGCGCACACACACATACACACAGACAAAACAGCTTATCTTCAAGCAACTTATTATAACCATCACTTGCCTTGACGATGGGGAATGAACAGACCAACCAAAGTCCGCTATCTTTATTTCTCCTTTGTGACCAAGCAGAAGATTTTCTGGCTTGATATCTCGATGAATTACTTTCTTGCCATGACAATATCTAAGAGCATCTGCAATCTGTGCAATATATTTTGCAGTCCTGAAATCGGGAAAGCATTTTCTAGGAATAATTTTTCATTAGATTTACTTATCTATCAAATCACCACAAACATAAACTTCCCTCCTAATAGGAAACCAAGAGGATACAATAATGACAATGATAGCGGTGGTAAGGACAATCCATGAATGAGTTTCTTTTGAACAACTCTCATGCAAAACATCAGAAACAAGAATGAAGGAGATTGGAGACAACACAACATTCCTCATACTAACCGTTCTTCAGTAAATCTTTTGTTTGGTTGTGCCTGAAGTTCTTTAAACAGTTCTCCATTTGGTGCAAACTCCAGGATCATGTACACCCGACTGTCATCATGGAAATAACCATACATCCTCAGTATGTTGGGATGCCTGTAACAGTGGCACCGAACATTCTTGCTACTGTTATGATTAATCATAAAACACTGTATCAATCCATCAGAACCAACCACATACCTGTCACAGGTCAGTGTCCCCTGAATATGAACATTCCAGCTAGAAAATAATGGCTCTTCAAATGGACCCAAAATAACATTTTTCTTAAAGATGATTTTCATTAAATCATCGAGACCACGTCCATAAATAAAACTACTTAGCTCATATCTTCAGGGAGACAACAGCACATACAAACAAATGCGAAAGTAAATTTTGTTGAAACTGGCTTCACAGGTTAAACGCACTGTTCAGTATTCATCTATCAAGAACAGTGTGCTGATCAGCAGTCGAGTTTGTTTCCAAGATAACATAATTATGGTTAATTGCATGCGAGAAAGCATGTTCAATATCTTCGCATTGATTTATTTTTCCAGGTAAGATGGAGAGAATAACAAGGAAAACAGTGATTTAGGTGTTAAAATATGGTCCACAAAGTATATCAAAATGCAGTGAAAGAGTTAAGATGGGAGTTTCAAAAGCTCCATAGATTATTAATCTCACAGTAGTTACTATTATGTACAAGAGAACAGCAGTTCTAACCATCTGTCGGCTTTTAAGTGTCATAACAGTAGCACTAGCTGTCCTCCAATTAACACACACTTCTCCCTGACATGGCAGCATAAAAATACAACTACACCTTTAAATCAGAGGTTACTACACTGACCAGATGTTACAAGAGAAACAAAGTCATAGTAAGGAATGCTGTTACTTACACAGGTTTCAGTCAAAGCAAATTTATTTCCCTTCTCTTCCCCCATTAGAAAATTACTGTGGTCATAATGGGTACTATTATGATCACTAAGCAAATATTTGGGTACATTTAATTGCTGGTATTGTGAGCATCGACACAACAAGTAATATGAGAATATCTTCAATAAAGACAATAGGTTTTTGGTATATATATTACGTGTTTAACATAAACGTAACTGTGCTACATGTTTTTACCATATAATTAGGTCATCATCAGGCACTTATGAACATAACTCAAATAATTAAAATATTGGTTAATACGGATCTGTATTCTTGCAACTAATGGCTGTGTTGCTAGTGAATGTATATTTATATATTAAGCATATATCTACGATTTAGTATACAATTCATCATTATGATTAAAACACAAAGTTAAAGATAATATAAAAATATGTAAATAGAAATATTAAAAATATAAATGGCATAAAAATTAATTGTATGTTGTGTTTAAAACTCGGGTTAGATGCTGTGCTTGGTCACCTGCAGCCTTCAACTGACGTGTGTTGGTATGCTGAAGAGGGGGGCAGGGGGTTGTGTTATTTCTTGCTTGTTTTGCAGAACATATATATACTATTGTATGGTGTAAAATCTGTTTGTTATTTCTTGCAATTCTCACTGTTATCTTAGATTATTGTGGAAGCTTAGGTGTTTTAGAAATGTAGGTTTGGATGTTGCTGTTTCATTAAAGAGAGACATCCTAAAATTGCTAGCAGATTTGTATGCAAGGGTAGGCTGTAGAATTACAAGATTTTAGACTAGGACCCCTACAATTTTTGTACTAAAAATTTTAATTGAGATACAATTAAGCGCAGTTGGTATAGTAACTGGCTACAGGCTGGACAGCCAAGAGGTCAGAGTTTGAGTCCCAGTGGAAGCAAGAATTTTCACTACTCCATATCATCCAGACCAGCTCTGGGGCCCATTCAGCCTGCTATCTAATGGGTACCAGGGGCTCTTTCCCCTGGGGTAAAGCGGCTAGGGTGTGAAGCTGACTACTCATCTAAAATTAGCGCCAAGGTCAAGAAAATGTGGTCTATATGTCTTCAAAGTGTAGTGCTTAATTACTTAAGCACATGGACAACTTTACCATTTTTTTTTACAATTAATCACTTTCCCCAGAATGTCATATTCACACAGATAAAGGATCGCAAAATATCTGAATAAAAAGAATGTAAATAAAATGTACCTCAGGTGTGACTGAATCTCAATTTCCCTTTTCAACTGATGTTCAACATTTGCTTTCTGGATCTGAGATTTAAAGAGAACTTTTAAGGCAATGATAAATTTAGACTTTTTTTCTCTTGCAAGGTATACGTTGCCAAATTTTCCCTTTCCAAGAGCTCGTCCAATGTCAAAGTCTGCTAGTGTCCACTTTCGCCTGCAAATAAAAGCAAACATTGTGTCAAAAATAAAATCTTTCTATTAACCACCAGGACAATAAGGTTCATCAGAATTCAAAGATGGACCTATCTACAGTGAAACCCTCATTTAATGTTCCTTGGGGTTTGAACCTAAGGAAAAACTTATACAGAGGGAATTTAACAGTGAGATTATCAACATTTAACGTTAAACAAAGGAAAACTTAACTTGAGGTACATTAAATGGGAGTTCAAATGCAATTGAACCAAATTTTGTTTATTAATACTGTAAAAACATTAACAAAATCACATCCTCATCACTGTTGGCAAGACAGCCCTTTTTGAGCCATAGCCTTCCTTAGAAGAGTCTGTCAGACTGCATCTAGTTTTCACTTCCTTGCATTTTATGACTTCTTTTTTGCCGAGCAAGGTCATGAGCCTTGCTTCCAACCTCCAACCTGGAGGGCTCTTATGAACATGGTAATGAACCTTCGGGTTCCATAAAATGCTGGGAAATTCTTGAGTAGCTGCAGAATTTGCGGCTCCTCCAGAAGGGCTCAGCTCCATAAGTAAGTCCACATTTTTACACAAAACAGATATCATGCATGAGACATGTATAGTGAATGTGTTTATATTTACCTTCTGGCAAGATTATTTCCATACACTGTAACGGCAGCAACCACCGCCATGTCCTTCAACCAGACCCCCTTCTTTCCTTTTCCCCCTCTCCACATGCCCTATGCTTGCGCCCTTCATCCTTTCACCAGGGACTGAGAGGCTCGTCTGAACACTGGAGGGCCATTCTGCTGCACGCCGTGGAAGAGTCTGGTCTCGACCCCAAATTATTTTTTGGAATTTTGGTTTACTAAATTAACGGCGGAGTTGGTGGACGCTTGTACGTTGTGCCGTCCTTATCTGGGGCTGTTTGTATTTTTTTTAATCTATTATATTATTATATTATTACATTCATTTGGTGTCTGTATTGTTAATATAGTTTCCTATCCCAAACCACTTTTGGTCCTTGGGCTTTGGTACGTTTCAACACAGATAATTTTGACATACAAATTTTCAGATTATTAATGACAAGTACACAAATTAAATCTAAACAGTTTGTAACAATGGTATATTAACACAATTATTAGCTTTTTGGACATTATCCATTGTCTTGTTTTCTTTATTTAACACATTGCGGACCGGACAGGCCATATGGCCCTCTACGGTCACGTTATGTTGTTATATCGCTGTGTGGCTTCGTTGAATCGTAACTACTGCGTAGATGACCTCGGGTATGATTGCTGCCTTATCTAGTAACTCGACCAGAGTCACTTCCTGTCACAACCTAAACAAAATTGGCTTTGTTCTAATCCAGGCTTGCATGTATGAACCACGCAGCTACCAGTTCAACATGGCTCAGAGACGAAAGCAGTTGCGATCTCTCGGAGGACAGGAAATATTAGTTATGTTCTCCGATGAGCTATCAGATTTGCCAACTGCTTCGTCTTCTGAT